GCATCTTGTAGATAGTACACACTGCTGCTACTGAGCGTCGGCGGGGGAGGGAGTGGATGCTTGTGGATGTGGCGCCAATCAAGTGGGCTATTTTGTCCTAGATGGTGTCAAGCTTCTTGAGTGTTGTTTTAGCTGGACTCATCCAGGCAAGTGGGGAGATTCCAACATACTCTTGACTTGAGCCTTGTAGGTGATTGACAGTCTCTGGGGAGTCAGGAGGTGAGTTACTTGCTCCAGTATTCCTGGCCTCTGACCTGCTTTTATAGTCTTTTCTGTGTCCTGCTGTGTTTATGTAATGAATTCAATTGAGTTTCTGGTCACCAATGTGCTGCCACATCTGCTAGGTCTGTCCTGCTGGTGGGACAGGACATATCCAAGGATGGTGATGGCTGTATCCAGGACATTGTCTGTAAGGTATGATTCTGTGAGTATAGCTACTTAAGGCTGTTGCTTGACTAGTCTGTGAGACAGCTCTCCCAATTTTGGCACTGGCTCCCAGATGTCAGTAAGGAGTATTTTGCAGGGGTCAATGAGGCTGTTACTGCTGTTGTCTTTTCTGGTGCCTCGGTCAATGCCAAGTGGTCCATCTGGTTTCATTTCTTTATTGAGACTTCACAGCAATTGATATAACTGAGTGCCTTGCTAGGTCATTTCAAGGGCAGTTAAGAGTCAGCTACATTGCTGTGGGTCTGGAGCCATATGTAGGCCAGACCAGGTAAGGATGGCAGATTTCTTTCCCTAAAGGACATTAGGTCATGGAATTATATAGATTATAGGGAATTTACAGTATAGGGAAAAAGCCATTCAGCCCAACTGTTCTATGTTGGTCTCTTTGTTCCATAGTCTTTGGGAACGCCCTTTGCCCACTGGGGACAATCCCCCTCAAGGTAGTACCCTTCCCAAGCCTTGCTCTGCAAAGCACACACACACCCCTCAATCCCCTCACATTCTCTCCCACCCCCAATCTCTCTATGCTGTCTACCCCTGACACTAGCCCAAGGCTAGGTTCCCTCAGGCCTTTTTACGGGCCTGGCTGCAAATCCAGCAATACTGACTACTCAGCTCATGACTGGTCTGCTGGCCAGAGGACATGTCCTCCTCCCTAGTGAGGGGTGGAGGTCTTGGCATTTAGGAAACTTAGAGAGCCGGCTTCCATTGCACATGTTGGCTTCCAGTTGATTTTTCTTGTGGGAAGAAGCAGCTATCCACCTCACCACCCCATAGATTTAAGTCCTGTTCCCCACTCATAGAACTGTTGAGTTCTCCTGCACTTTCTGTTGCTATATTACTAAAATGGTTCAGTTGGCTTTCAGTTAGAAGCATCATTTTAATACATTGAGTGAAGGGGTTACAAAAAGAAAAAAATGAATATGTCTGAAGCCCCATTTCACCCTTTCTGTAATATATTTCAAATCTGCTCAATATACAGGGGGTGTGTGACTGTGTATGTGTGTGTGTGTGTGTTTGTGTGTGTGTGTGCGTCTGTCTGTCTGTGTGTATGTGTGTGTGTGTGTTTGTGTGCATGTGTGAGAGTGCGCGCGAGCGTGGGTGTGTGTCTGTGTGTGGGTGTGGGTGTGTGTGTCTGTGTGTGTGTGTGTGTGTGTGTGTGTGTAACCCCATGTATTGCTCATAACCAGGCTAAACATTGTTGCTGGCAACAGTTCAGATCACAGAGCTAAATTTACTCTCACGATGAGACTAACTTGACACTGTCCACACTGCAGATGAGTGAGAACAAGCAGTCAGTATATCATTACACAAACCCAATGTTACTTATATTTGTAACCATGAGTTGTCAGCAACTGAACCTTACATTCAGCGTAAGAGTATTGTTACCACTTTATCAGTAACTGATTACATAGTGCCAGCAGTCACATGATACCTGACGAAGGAGCAGCGCTCCGAAAGCCTGTGATTTCAAATAAAGCTGTTGGACTATAACCTGGTGTCGTGTGACTTCTGTCTTTGTCCACCCCGGGCTAACACCAGCACCTACACATCGTTACTGTATAGCAACACAGCCGAGTTATCTTAGACTGAATTTAACGTGGGGAGTCATAGGCCCTGACTTGGTTGATTCACCCTGAAGCCACTGGTCTTGAGTTGAGGCCTCCCCCTATTCCATTTTAGGAGGAAGTCCCACTTTTGGAAGTGGGTGGGAGGTGTAGTGTTGACTGTCTGGCAGTCTCTGGTCCCACCAATATCCCTGGGATTTGTTGGAGGGTGTGAGGGGAGACTGGGAGAGATCTGAGATACCAAAGTGTAGAGCTGGCTGAACACAGCAGGCCAAGCAGCATCAGAGGAGCAGGAAAGCTGACATTTCAGGCCTAGACCCTTCTTCAGGTGACTGGATGACTGACACCAGCTTCCTCCTCACCACAGTTGAAATCCCAGTGCTGGTCATAGGTTGATTGTACACTTAAGGGCTTCAGCTGGTGCCCAAACTAGTGGGCAGGAACACCACCCCCGAAGCTGGCAAAGCTGAAGTGATGTGTAAGGATGTAGGGACTGGGAATTCTGTCAAAGGTCTGGTGCCCAACTTCATGGCCCACTTCTCTCCACTTGCCAATTCCTCCAGGGGTGACCATTAAATGTAGCCCAATGCTGTGTAAAAATTGGACAATTGACACCAGGGACATAGGAACAGGGAGAGGCCATTCTGCCTCTCAGGTGCTTTTCAGTTGTATCAGGGCCAATTTATTTGCTCCAACCCACCTTGGTTCTGTCATCCTCAATTCCAAAAAAAACTCCTCAATTTCAGATTCCTAAAATTTTCAATCAACCTCCAGCCTCAGTGCTTTTTAGGGGAGAAAGTTTTGGATTTCTACTTCCCTTTGTGTTTCCTGGCATCACTCTTGAGCAACCCGGCTCAAATTTTAAAGTTCTGCCTTTCTTGTTCTCATTCCTTCTCCACAACAAATTGTTTTTCTTTGTCTCCCTTATTTACTGCTTTGTTATCTTAATTGAAAAAAAATTATTCCATGGAGAGGGAACATTTGGTTACTCACTAAGTCTTTAGAGAGAGCTGGGTCCATCTGCTGGGTTTGTCCTGTCAGTGAGTGTTACCATCACTAAATCCCTCACTGTCAACATCCTGGGGTTACCACTGACCAGAAACTCAACTGGACTCGCTACATAAACACGGGGGCTACAAGAACAGGTCTGAGGCTTGGAATACTGCGACAAGTAACCCACCTTCTGACTCCCCAAAGTCTGTCAACCATCTGATACAAAAACAGAAATTCCTGGTGAAATTCAGCAGGTTTGGCAGCATCTGTGGGAAGAAAGCAGAGTTAACATTTCGAGTCTTGTGACTCTTCATCATCAGATTCTTCAGACGCTCTCTGCTGAATTTCACCAGCAATTTCTGTTTTTTGTTTCAGATCTCCAACATCTGTATTTCTCTGTCAGGAATGTGATGGAACACTCCCCACTAGCCTGGATGGGTGTAGCCGCAATAACACTCAAGAAGCTCGACACCATGCAGGACAAAACAGCCCACTTGATTGGCACCACATCGACAAGCATCCACTCCCTCCACCACTGCCACTCAGTAGCAGTAGTGTGTACTATCTACAGGATGCACTGCAGAAATTCACCAAAGATCCTCAGACATCACCTTCCAAATCCACTACCAATTCCATTTTGAAGGGCAAGGGCAGCAGATGAGGAATACCCTACCTGCAAGTTCCCCTCCAAGTCACTCATCCTGACTTGGGAAAATATTTCCCCTAAGGGCATTGTGGGTCTACCTACAGCACGTGGACTGCAGAGGTTCAAAAAGGTAGCTCACCACCACCTTCTTAAGGGCAGCTGGGGACGGGCAAGAAATGCTGGGCCAGCCAGTGATGCCTATATCACGATTAAAACAAAATGTCACCATCTCCTTCACTTGAGATAGCTACATAATCCAGGCTGGCATTTCTTGTGCAGTCCAGAGAGAATGCTGCACTGTCCGAGGTGCTGTTCACAAACAGCATGTTAGCCTTGATTCAGTTGGTAGGAGTCTTGCTTCTGAGCTGCAAAATTCCAGACACAAGACTCCACTCCAGGAGATCAGCTCAGACTGATATGCGTGTCAGCGCTGAGGGAGTGCTGCAATGCAGTGCCTTCATACTTATGAGAAACTATTGCTGAAATCCTGTATGTGTGAGTGCAATAGATCCACGGCGTTAGTTCAAATAGGAACCATGGAGTTACCCAATACTTATCCTCAATCAATGCCAGAAAATGCCGCTTTCCTGGTCATTATCACATTTCTCATTGTGAGAGCTTGCTGTGCACAAATTGGCTTTTGAGTTTCTTATAGTAAACAAGCACTCCGAGACATTTGTTGGTCATGAAAAGTCATGCACACATTCAGGTTAACATTAACCCTAAACCCTAAACCTAATCCTAAACCCTAGCCCTAACCCTAACCCTAACCTTAACAATAAACCCTAACCCTAACCCTAAACCCTAACCCTAACCCTAACTCTAAATCCTTACCCTAAACCCTAACTCTAACCCTAAACCCTAACTCTGACCCTAACCCTAACCCTAACCCCTAACCCTAACCTTAACCCTAACCCTAACCCTGACCCTGACCCTAACCCTAACCGTAAACCCTAACCTTAACCCTAACCCTAACCATAACCCAAACCCTAACCCCTAACCCTAACCATAACCCAAACCCTAAACCCTAACCGTAAACCCTAACCCTAACCCTAACCCGAACCCAAGCCCTAACTCTAATCTTAACCCTACCCTAAACCTAACCCAAACCCTAAATCCTTTTTTTGGTTTTATTTGGGACCTGCTGTGAGCAAACAAGTTATTGTTTCTCCTACATTGCATTTTTTTATTTGCTTTCTATTTCTCTGAGCATTGTCAAGAGTTGTTTGTCTATTCACATATTGATGATGTAATTTTTATATGATTGCTGCACTCAGCAAGACACTGGATCTAAGCCAATTTAAATACGCCAGTTTAGCAGGAAGTGAAACAGCAAGTTGTAAGCACTGTGCACAAAGCAGAGATACAGTTCTGTGGAGGCAAGCATGTTATGCTGGGAGCAGTCAAGATGCAGACAAGTGGGATCAGAAATCCACATGGATGGGGTACTACCACAAGTTAGCCCTTTGAATGAAATCTTCAGGGATGATGAAGTTCAGCAGATCTGCTGCAGAGCTCGATTCACTGTGTATTTATTGAAAAATGGCAGAGTTTACATTTTATTTAATGAGCAGAGGAAAAGAGCACGGCCAGGTAAGTGAGTAAATACCCAAGGGTTAATGCTTGTATTGATCTGTACACTTGTGAGCTGTGAAGCTCTTTGAGGAATCTTGTGGAAAGTGTTGTATGAAATTCCTTTATTAATTCAAACAGAATTCACAACATCAGAAAATGTAATACATCTGGTTTCTATCAGATATTTTACCCATAAATGAGTTGACTGAAGTTATGCATCCGAAATCTATAAGTGAACTAAAATATCAGAAACCTATGGGGAATAATCTCTTTAATGAATTTATGCATTGAAAATACAGACACAATAACAGATGTGAATCCTGTCACAGGGAATTAGAAAAATTAACAGAGAGCATGGAGATTGATTAAGTTCATGACACCAAAGAAGGCCATTCAGCCTGCACTCATATAACTAGCCCTCTTTCGCGTGAAATTAACTAATTTAAATTGTCTATTCCCTCTCAATGTCTCTGTATAAGCAGCTTGCAAAATGTTTACATCTTTATCAGAAGTTGGAAGATACAGTCTGTCATTCCATGAGGTTCAATAATAACAGTAATGCCAATAAATGTCTGACTGGGTTTACAATGATTTAGATTTGATTAAAATAAGTAATTGTGTTAATATTCTTCCCATACACCACATTCATTAACATGAAAAGTTTTTTGTTACATTGAAAACTGACAAATTGATCTGTTAAATAAATCAGTGAGCAAATAAATGTTCTGAGGAAGGGTCACTGGACCAGGAACGTTAACTCTGACTTCACTCTGCAAATGTTGCTGAACCTGCTAAGCTTTTACAGCAATTTCTGTTTTTGTTTCAGATTTCCAGCTTCCGCAGTTCTTTCCATTTTTTTTGGCAAAAAAACAAATTGCATTCAAGGTAAAAATAGAGGTTTGGGTCACTGGTGGTTTGCTTCAGGTTGGGGCGCTGTCAGGAGCATCCCAATGCAAATTGCTTTGAAGTAAATCATTGATGGTGTGAGCTGTCTTCAGATGAGATTCATGCAGGTATTTCTCCACTCGACCACATTCGAACAATCAAATGTTAAAAAGGAGACTCACTCATGAATTACCGAAACCTGCCAGAGGGGGTGCCTCACATGTCTATGCAGGACCAGCCACGGAGTTTTCAGACGGTGATTTGAAGTGAGTTTCGATTTTGAGTT